GCACGGGTTTTCGTAATTATTGCAGATAATAGTAGGCTATAACAAATTAATAATTATTGATAGGCCTATACTTGTTAATAGGACTTTGTGTTTCATTTATTACTGTCAATATTAGGAAAAAAACATGAACGAACGAATTAAAATGAATTTAATTAATTAATAAATAATAACATTGAAGCACATGCTTCTCTCTCTCTCTCTCTCTCTCTCTCTCTCTCTCTCTCTCTCTCTCTCTCTCTCTCTCTCTCTCTCTCTCTCTCTCTCTCTCTCTCTCTCTCTCTCTCTCTCTCTCTCTCTCTAATAACTGCATAAAGCCGGGGACACACTTATTGTAAGGCCGGTTATGAATGTAATTTGATACTTTGTTATGATTGATCATGCAAACGCGTGTTCAGCGCGTTCAGTTTAAAATCTTCTGCAGTCGATGGAAACAGTCAGAGAGTGTTTCAGCCAGTCGGTAAGTGTGTCCAGCATTAGTCTGCTATCAGTGGCTCAATCCTCCGTTACTAACTCTAAAATGACGTTTTGAAATTAGCAACGGAGGCATGGGATTAGATGCGCAAGAAATTAGTCCTACATACAAGAGCGTTTTAATGACAAAAACTTCACAAACGTCTTGAAATACATCATCTGAACAATGTTTCGGGGTGTGGTAACTGTAGTATAAGCGGAATAATTGACTTCAGACTCCGCTTCGCGCCGTGACCGCATTACCACCTCGGGTGTGCATTATTTTTCTAATAATTCAACAGCCTGTCGTCAATTATTCCTTACTAATACTGACAATAATAACAATAAAATAATCTTTAGGCCAGTCTGTAAAATAAGCGCTACTCTGCAGGAGTGACGAAGACGAACAGTTGAACCGTTCATGCATTTCCTGCGACGCTCTCTAATGTGTTGCTTTATGAATCGATGTATCTCCAGTGACGTCCCTGCAGGAGCTCCTGCTTGTGGACTGCAGGATCAGCTTTGCTCACATGTGAAGGACTGGATGTGGTGTTTCTGTTTCAGATCAAGAACGTCCTGAACTCTGCCAGACTTCTGGGCGACGCTTCGGTCTCCTTCACCAACAACTGTGTGGTCGGGATCGAGCCGAACATCGAGAGGATCAACAAACTGATGAGCGAGTCGCTGATGCTGGTCACGGCTCTCAACCCTCACATAGGCGAGTGTGTGTGTGTGTGTGTGTGTGTAGTGTAACCTCTGTGAACATGCGTTCTGTTTTTGGATGAAGGACTGTAAGTGTGGGGAACAGACAGCAGAGGGCGCTGTGTGTGTGTGTGTGTTACTCGATGCATTCGCCTGTTTTAAAGAGTCATGAAGCAGTTTGAAAAATGCTACACAAGAGGAGAGAGAAACGAACACAAGCGCAGCTTCTGATCCAGACGCTTTTATTTCACTCTCATTGAGTTTAAAGCATCAGATTAACACAAATGTTGCTTCAGTTCATCATTACACACAGCAAAATCAACAAATACACTATACAAGCTCCTTTAAATCACACAAACACAGTGTAATGCACAAATAACTGAAGCCGTTTGCATTTGTGCATCAAAAATCTACATGAGCAATGTTGCATAACCTCTGAGACTCTTATTTTGCCATGTTTATTACATTCGTTTAGCAGATGATTCGTTAAAGACTTCAGCTTTTGTCATGCAGGAACTCTAAGAAAGAAAGTGTCGATCTCAATCAGCAAGATCTTCTCAGAGCATAATGAATAATTATGAAGAGCCAATAACTCGTCAACCTAGCCAACAAATATCATACGTTTTACTAATGTTCCCATTAATGTCTGAAGTTCTGAATGTTCTATTGTATCATTCTTCAAACGTTATGGGAACGTTACTTTTGAACGTTCTTTAAACGTAAAAGCTGTTACATTTAAAAAAAAAACGTCCAACTGAAACATTTCAGACAAAACCCTCCATGAATGATGTATAAATAATGTTTTCATACTAATGCTTTGAGAACATTATTAAAGACCAGATAACTTTGAACAAACGTTATATTAACGTTACTGGAAAAACGTTTGGTCATAACTTTGAAACTTCCCTGTTAAAAACATACGATTCTAAACCTGGAAGATGAAAATTGCTCAAAAAAAACAGTAAAGCAGCAAATAAAGCAAATCTGTAGTTTAGTGGGCGGGGCCAGGAATCTGTCACTCAAATCTGTAGTTTAGTGGGCGGGGCCTGGCATCTGTCACTCAAATCTGTAGTTTAGTGGGCGGGGCCTGGCATCTGTCACTCAAATCTGTAGTTTAGTGGGCGGGGCCTGGCATCTGTCACTCAAATCTGTAGTTTAGTGGGCGGGGCCTGGCATCTGTCACTCAAATCTGTAGTTTAGTGGGCGGGGCCTGGCATCTGTCACTCAAATCTGTAGTTTAGTGGGCGGGGCCTGGCATCTGTCACTCAAACTGTAGTTTAGTGGGTGGGGCCTGGAATCTGTCACTCAAATCTGTAATTTAGTGGGCGGAGCCTGGAATCTGTCACTCAAATCTGTAGTTTAGTGGGCGGGGCCTGGAATCTGTCACTCAAATCTGTAATTTAGTGGGCGGAGCCTGGAATCTGTCACTCAAATCTGTAGTTTAGTGGGCGGGGCCTGGAATCTGTCACTCAAATCTGTAGTTTAGTGGGCGGGGCCTGGAATCTGTCACTCAAATTACATCCATCTAACATTCTTAAATGTTACAACTTGTTTCGGAACGTTCAGAGAACATTCAAAAGTAAAGGGGGTCGCACACCGGACGAGAAGCGCAGCGCCAGGTCTTTAAAATTCGAACATATTATTCTCTATGAGTGTACACACACCGGCGGCGCCATTCGGCGTCTGTCCGCGGCGCCCAGCTACGGCTCAGGACCTTGTTCAAAACCCTGCCGCTCCACAGAGCGCCATTTGCATAGTTTTATATTAGTGCTGGGCCGTTATCGGCGTTAACGTGCTGCGTTTACGTGAGACTCTTATCGGGCGATAAAAAAAATATCGCCGTTAATCAAAGTTGGGTTGGGAATTGGGATCATAAATAGCTTTTCGAATATCGTTATATTTTCGCGCAATTCTAATGTGTAGGCTAGTATGACGCCGCGCCTACTGTCACAGATCGCGCAGTAGGGTATTTTCCTGTCAGGGACACAAGGTGTACTTTTACTTTACGTTAGGCGACGTTCCTCTCGTTACTTTATTTTAATGCAATACGTTGTTAAATGAGTTTATTCCAAGCGCGCTGTGTCCTTTGTATGGGCATGAGCGATGCTCATTTACAAATGAATCACTCTTTTGAGTCGATTCTGTTCAAAGACTTCATCAAACAAGTTGTCAGATAATCTGTCTAAATCGGTTCGCGAATCAGTTGATCTGTTCAGTTCCTCGCGCACTGAATCGTCTGAAGCGCTTTCAATTCACACTCGGGAGTCGAAACAGGAAGATTTAAGAGCATCAAGAGCGTTGGATGAAGTGGCCGATCTACAGTCTAGTCTAGTGAATGCAAATCTGCAAATGCATCATATTTTTGCCAGCGATGAAGATCTTTATTAGTTGAACATCTTCGTAAGCTGTCTGTGAATGAATGATTCCACAGGACGATACATTCGATTTCATTTCATTCAGGTAATACATTGTGTGTGTATTGCGCGTGTATTGCGCAGTGGCATAATCACACGATTAGTTTACATTGATTGAAACTAATTTGTTTAAAAATGAGGCTATTGCAGTAACAAGGCAGGTTCACATAAAATTCTTATGACATATGATGACATTATTTTTTGATCTAACGAGCATTGGCGATGCAAAAACGGACTGTCGTGCGTATTGTTTTTCTTCTTCTTCCAATTAGCCTATATGTTAAAAAAAAGGACGAAAACATGTTACTTGTTCAATTAATAAACAGTTTGTTTGATGACAAATCGCTAAAGATGAAATTGTCCTCCCTTTCTGTCATTGCGTTTTTTTTTACGATATTCGACTTTTGCTCCTCGATTGTCGAATGGCATTTTTGGCAGAAATGCACATCCCTACGCGAGGCAAACTATTCTCAAAGACTTACTTTTAGTCATTATTTGGGTAGTAGCACACATATTCTGAATGCCTTCGGGAGAATTCAAATGAGCCATTTTAATCTAGATTAATCTAGATTAATTTCAATATTAATCTAGATTAATCTAGATTAAAAAAATTAATCTATGCCCACCTCTATTTTATATTAAATTTACTTTTATTTGTCTCAAATCGTCGTTAATGTACATGGCTTCACCCCGTGCTGTTTTCACTCAGGTTTGCTAAACGCTAGCTAAATAAATACTATTGTATTATGTGACATAGTTGCCTAGACAACGGATAACGTTACAACAAAATAACAGACTCAACGTGATAGACACTTTTACTTGATTAACGTTCAAACATCAGCTATTATTCAATGAACATAAAAAAATAAATAATAAATCAAGATAAAACACACATCGTGCAGCTCTTCTACCAGGAGTTGATTCAAAATTGTGCTCGCGCGATTAGAATGTGCGCGTCCGGTGTGCGATACCTGGAGTTGTCCTAGACGTGGCGCGGCGCTGCACTGCGCTTCTCGTCCGGTGTGCGACCCCCTTAACGTTTCCATGTTTGCAAAATGAAATGTTTCCTAGGAATTCAGAGAAAACTTCAAAACTATAAATATTAGCAGTAATAAATGTATTGAACAAAGCCACAATTGTCTCAAACTGAAAAATCAACAAGTCAAGTTGCTTTTAATTTTTTTTTTTTGACATTCAGAAATGACTGGAACTATTGAAAATATAAAGTGTGTGTGTGTGGTCTCTCCTCAGGCTATGATAAAGCAGCCACTATAGCGAAGACGGCACACAAGGAGGGCTCGACTCTGAAGGAGACGGCGCTGAAGCTCGGCTTCCTGACGGAGGAGCAGTTCGACCTGTGGGTGCGTCCTGAAGACATGCTGGGACCCAAATAACCTCTCGCTCTTCAATAAAACACTTGCCTTGTTCAAACAATTTGTTCCTCGTGTCTTTGCCCAATGATCTGTGAACGCTAGATCTGTGAACGCTAGCTAGCTGTGAACGCTAGCTCTGTGAACGCTAGCTCAGTGAACGCTAGATCTGTGAACGCTAGCTCTGTGAATGCTAGCTCAGTGAACGCTAGCTCAGTGAACGCTAGCTCTGTGAACGCTAGCTCAGTGAACGCTAGCTCAGTGAACGCTAGATCTGTGAACGCTAGACCTGTGAACGCTAGCTCAGTGAACGCTAGCTCTGTGAACGCTAGCTCTGTGAACGCTAGCTCTGTGAACGCTAGCTCTGTGAACGCTAGCTCAGTGAACGCTAGATCTGTGAACGTTAGATCTGTGAACGCTAGCTCAGTGAATGTTAGATCTGTGAACGCTAGACCTGTGAACGCTAGACCTGTGAACGCTAGACCTGTGAACGCTAGCTCTGTGAACGCTAGACCTGTGAACGCTAGACCTGTGAACGCTAGACCTGTGAACGCTAGACCTGTGAACGCTAGATCTTTGAACGCTAGCTCTGTGAACGCTAGCTCTGTGAACGCTAGACCTGTGAACGCTAGATCTGTGAACGCTAGACCTGTGAACGCTAGCTCTGTGAACGCTAGATCTGTGAACGCTAGATCTGTGAACGCTAGACCTGTGAACGCTAGACCTGTGAACGCTAGCTCTGTGAACGCTAGACCTGTGAACGCTAGACCTGTGAACGCTAGATCTGTGAACGCTAGCTCAGTGAACGCTAGACCTGTGAACGCTAGACCTGTGAATGCTAGACCTGTGAACGCTAGACCTGTGAACGCTAGACCTGTGAACGCTAGACCTGTGAACGCTAGCTCAGTGAACGCTAGATCTTTGAACGCTAGATCTTTGAACGCTAGCTCTGTGAACGCTAGATCTTTGAACGCTAGACCTGTGAACGCTAGATCTGTGAACGCTAGATCTGTGAACGCTAGACCTGTGAACGCTAGACCTGTGAACGCTAGACCTGTGAACGCTAGACCTGTGAACGCTAGATCTGTGAACGCTAGACCTGTGAACGCTAGACCTGTGAACGCTAGCTCAGTGAACGCTAGATCTTCGAACGCTAGCTCTGTGAACGCTAGCTCTGTGAACGCTAGACCTGTGAACGCTAGACCTGTGAACGCTAGATCTGTGAACGCTAGATCTGTGAACGCTAGACCTGTGAACGCTAGATCTGTGAACGCTAGACCTGTGAACGCTAGACCTGTGAACGCTAGCTCTGTGAACGCTAGATCTGTGAACGCTAGATCTGTGAACGCTAGACCTGTGAACGCTAGATCTGTGAACGCTAGCTCAGTGAACGCTAGACCTGTGAACGCTAGATCTTGAACGCTAGATCTGTGAACGCTAGACCTGTGAACGCTAGACCTGTGAACGCTAGCTCTGTGAACGCTAGATCTGTGAACGCTAGATCTGTGAACGCTAGACCTGTGAACGCTAGATCTGTGAACGCTAGCTCATTGAACGCTAGACTTGTGAACGCTAGATCTTGAACGCTAGATCTGTGAACGCTAGACCTGTGAACGCTAGACCTGTGAACGCTAGCTCAGTGAACGCTAGCTCAGTGAACGCTAGCTCTGTGAACGCTAGATCTTTGAACGCTAGACCTGTGAAAGCGAGCTCTTTGTACGCTAGCTCTGTGAACGCTAGCTCTGTGAACGCTAGACCTGTGAACGCTAGACCTGTGAACGCTAGACCTGTGAACGCTAGACCTGTGAACGCTAGACCTGTGAACGCTAGACCTGTGAACGCTAGACCTGTGAACGCTAGACCTGTGAACGCTAGACCTGTGAACGCTAGACCTGTGAACGCTAGACCTGTGAACGCTAGACCTGTGAACGCTAGACCTGTGAACGCTAGACCTGTGAACGCTAGACCTGTGAACGCTAGACCTGTGAACGCTAGACCTGTGAACGCTAGACCTGTGAACGCTAGACCTGTGAACGCTAGCTCTGTGAACGCTAGACCTGTGAACGCTAGACCTGTGAACGCTAGCTCTGTGAACGCTAGACCTGTGAAAGCTAGATCTGTGAACGCTAGATCTGTGAACGCTAGACCTGTGAACGCTAGACCTGTGAACGCTAGACCTGTGAACGCTAGACCTGTGAACGCTAGACCTGTGAACGCTAGACCTGTGAACGCTAGACCTGTGAACGCTAGACCTGTGAACGCTAGATCTGTGAACGCTAGACCTGTGAACGCTAGACCTGTGAACGCTAGACCTGTGAACGCTAGACCTGTGAACGCTAGACCTGTGAACGCTAGACCTGTGAACGCTAGATCTGTGAACGCTAGACCTGTGAACGCTAGACCTGTGAACGCTAGACCTGTGAACGCTAGACCTGTGAACGCTAGACCTGTGAACGCTAGACCTGTGAACGCTAGCTCTGTGAACGCTAGATCTGTGAACGCTAGATCTGTGAACGCTAGACCTGTGAACGCTAGACCTGTGAACGCTAGACCTGTGAACGCTA